ACATACTGCTGCTAACATGTACAGATGTAAACATACTGCTGCTAACATGTATAGATGTAAACATACTGCTGCTAACATGTACAGATGTAAACATTCTGCTGCTAACATGTACAGATGTAAACATACTGCTGCTAACATGTACAAATGTAAACATATTGCTGCTAACATGTACAGATGTAAACATACTGCTGCTAACATGTACAGATGTAAACATACTGCTGCTATCATGTACAGATGTAAATATACTGCTGCTAACATGTACAGATGTAAACATACTGCTGCTAACATGTACAGATGTAAATATACTGCTGCTAACATGTACAGATGTAAACATACTGCTGCTAACATGTACAGATGTAAACATACTGCTGCTAACATGTACAGATGTAAACATACTGCTGCTAACATGTACAGATGTAAACATACTGCTTCTAACATGTACAGATGTAAACATACTGCTGCTAACATGTACAGATGTAAACATACTGCTGCTAACATGTACAGATGTAAACATACTGCTGCTATCATGTACAGATGTAAATATACTGCTGCTAACATGTACAGATGTAAACATACTGCTTCTAACATGTACAGATGTAAATATACTGCTGCTAATGTACAGATGTAAACATACTGCTGCTAACATGTACAGATGTAAACATACTGCTGCTAACATGTACAGATGTAAACATACTGCTGCTAACATGTACAGATGTAAACATACTGCTGCTAACATGTACAGATGTAAACATACTGCTGCTAATGTGCAGATGTAAACATACTGCTGCTAACATGTACAGATGTAAACATACTGCTGCTAATGTACAGATGTAAACATACTGCTGCTAACATGTACAGATGTAAACATACTGCTGCTAACATGTACAGATGTAAACATACTGCTGCTAACATGTACAGATGTAAACATACTGCTGCTAACATGTACAGATGTAAACATACTGCTGCTAATGTACAGATGTAAATATACTGCTGCTAACATGTACAGATGTAAACATACTGCTTCTAACATGTACAGATGTAAACATACTTCTGCTAACATGTACAGATGTAAACATACTGCTTCTAACATGTACAGATGTAAACATACTGCTGCTAACATGTACAGATGTAAACATACTGCTGCTAACATGTACAGATGTAAACATACTGCTGCTAACATGTACAGATGTAAACATACTGCTGCTAACATGTACAGATGTAAATATACTGCTGCTAACATGTACAGATGTAAACATACTGCTGCTAACATGTACAGATGTAAACATACTGCTGCTAACATGTACAGATGTAAACATACTGCTGCTAACATGTACAGATGTAAACATTCTGCTGCTAACATGTACAGATGTAAACATACTGCTGCTAACATGTACAAATGTAAACATATTGCTGCTAACATGTACAGATGTAAACATACTGCTGCTAACATGTACAGATGTAAACATACTGCTGCTATCATGTACAGATGTAAATATACTGCTGCTAACATGTACAGATGTAAACATACTGCTGCTAACATGTACAGATGTAAACATACTGCTGCTAACATGTACAGATGTAAACATACTGCTGCTAACATGTACAGATGTAAACATACTGCTGCTAACATGTACAGATGTAAACATACTGCTGCTAACATGTACAGATGTAAACATACTGCTTCTAACATGTACATTACAGATGTAAACATACTGCTGCTAACATGTACAGATGTAAACATACTGCTGCTAACATGTACAGATGTAAACATACTGCTGCTATCATGTACAGATGTAAATATACTGCTGCTAACATGTACAGATGTAAACATACTGCTTCTAACATGTACAGATGTAAATATACTGCTGCTAATGTACAGATGTAAACATACTGCTGCTAACATGTACAGATGTAAACATACTGCTGCTAACATGTACAGATGTAAACATACTGCTGCTAACATGTACAGATGTAAACATACTGCTGCTAACATGTACAGATGTAAACATACTGCTGCTAATGTGCAGATGTAAACATACTGCTGCTAACATGTACAGATGTAAACATACTGCTGCTAATGTACAGATGTAAACATACTGCTGCTAACATGTACAGATGTAAACATACTGCTGCTAACATGTACAGATGTAAACATACTGCTGCTAACATGTACAGATGTAAACATACTGCTGCTAACATGTACAGATGTAAACATACTGCTGCTAATGTACAGATGTAAATATACTGCTGCTAACATGTACAGATGTAAACATACTGCTTCTAACATGTACAGATGTAAACATACTTCTGCTAACATGTACAGATGTAAACATACTGCTTCTAACATGTACAGATGTAAACATACTGCTGCTAACATGTACAGATGTAAACATACTGCTGCTAACATGTACAGATGTAAACATACTGCTGCTAACATGTACAGATGTAAACATACTGCTGCTAACATGTACAGATGTAAATATACTGCTGCTAACATGTACAGATGTAAACATACTGCTGCTAACATATAACTACACTTTGCTTGCACTAGAAAACACAGGACTTTATACTTGCCTCTTATTTAGCCAAATGTTTATTCTTGTTTATTATTTTTATTTTCAAGATAGAGATTTTTTACTTGTTCTTTGATGCTAGAGTTAGAGATTTTGTTTTATTATAATTAGTATAGCTATTGTTCACTTATCTTGTGCTGTGTGCTCCTTATTCCTATAAGCTGTGGGACGAATAAAGGATCTCTTAATCTGATAAATGTAGCGAGCCACACAAAGTGAAAGTTGTATTTATAGTGTATATATGGATTGAAATGACCTCGCACAAGTTACACCAAACAGACACTATATGAACAGCCTGGAGCCCATATAAACAAACGCATTGTGAAGTTGTTTGAAGTCTGATATGATGTAAACTGTAACCTTTAGCTTTGAACAAAAACATTGTATTATTTCTTTCCAATAACAGCTACGATTACCTCCTCAGCGACACCGGCTTTAATTGGCTGAACTATTCAGCAGGTCTGACGATGCCGCCGTTACAGGAATGTGTCTTTTAATCTCCACGTAGTATTCATTCCTTTTCCATTTAATTAAAGGTATTAACAAACGTTTTTCCACGGTATTACGCTCTGCCGACAGAAATGTGATGGAAAGTGGCTGCTTTAAAAAGAACTCATTGTTCAGTGCGGTTTTATGGTTGCAGAAGTCACAAATGTCCTGTTTTACATCATGAACAGATGACAGTTTTAGTGTATTCAAACCTGGATAGAGGACAGGTCTGTGGAACTTAAAGCTGGGGTACCTTACTTGTAAATGGATAAATTATGCATGTTGTGTCCTCAAAGAGACCGAGCCAATTAAAGGTAAAAAACGTGAACCACAACATGCTGGTTTATCTTACTAGAAAACAAGTTACTTTTGCATACTGAGAGTTGATTGGATGAGTGACGGTGCCTGAAAATGATCTTGGATGATGTGACTGAGGCCAAAAATACATGAATGAGAAAACAATAGTACCAAACGGCTTTGAGAGTGAGGATCTATAATTACATGGATTTTGTTTCATAGTTGTTGTCTCTTTATTTTGATCATTTTTTTGTGGTAATGCAACAAAATAGCACAACAATCCAGCGAGTACAACAGTAATACAATCAATGAAAAAGAACAGGAGTAGTACGAAGAAATAATAATCTTCTAAACTCATACTTATACCACAGCTTTAAACGAAGGAGCTGTGATAAAGAGAACGACCAAAAACCTGCCCTGAGCTTAAATGGACAGATCGTGGAGCAGGTGGAAGCGTCCTGCTGGACAGACACATGACAGTCAGCCGTGTACAGAAAGATTCTGAGGGAACGGAGGAGCTTTCAGGTTAGCGCTGACATCAGACCCAGTGTCTACAAAACCCTCATTGAGTCACACTCGCCTCCATAAAAGAGAAAAACAATCTCTCGTAAATCATCAAACAATAAGAAAAGATAACGGAAAACTCAAGCCAATATGACACAACTTCACAGTGAAGCAGCCAAACAGATTTGTAGGATGATCACAGCCCCTGCACCAGCCCTTAGAGCCTCTCCCTACGATGTTACAGAGGCCACGATTTCAGAAAAACACATAATAATAATAATAATAATAAAGCATCTGTTTTATACAGCGCTTTTCTGGACACTCAAAGACGCTTCACATGTCATTATTCATTCACTCCATACACGGTGGTGATAAACTACTACTGTAGCCACAGCTGCCCTGGGGCACTCTGACATGTACCCATCTGCTCACACTGTCTTTGCACTTCTGAATGAGAGTTCATTTTATATAATGTATCAACTTGAATGTAAGAACTGTATGAATATCTGAAACACACCAAGGACAAATTTATCTTTTCACCAATGAAAGAGTTGCACCAATGAAGCAGCAGATTGTGAGGAAAAGTTACCATTGACGTTTGCAAGAACGAGCAGAGCAGAGGATGAGAAAATCTATAAAGCTGTACAGATTTATGCAATAAACACATCCCATTGACCTTGTAACTAATAATATCCACTGTGAATTCATTTTGAACATCTGTGGCAAAGTCTTATACTTATGTAATAATTTTTAACAGTATTTTAGTTCAGTTTTCTGTAAGAGGCGGTTATTTTAAAACAGTTGGAAAGTACAGTTGGGGCGACAGTTGGTAGAGCCTGAAGGTTCGATCCCACCACAACCTTCTCCAATGAATCTCACTGATGTCTGCAGTCGTTGTGTCCTTGGGCAAGACACTTAAACCCACTTTGCCTGAAGCCCCTGCTTACAGATCAAGGCTATAATGTCACTGACATATCAGCTTTCCTCCAGTGGACTCACCACCTGCAGGGGGATCAGTGAGGGGACCCAGGGGGAGAAAATGGATGTATGGAAAGCACTGGTATAACATTTATTTGACCACTCCTCTAAGCACTTATTCCATAATATGTTTTCTTGTTTTTCTTCTCTTTGCTCCAGTTATGTGAAACAGCCCTGTTCCATGGATACCTTCCCGTAGTTTTTAATCGGCGTGGCCACAATGGGACCCCCCTCACCTCGGTCAAGCTGCAGCAGTTCGGGGACCCCTCAGACCTCCGGGAGGCAGTGCGCTACATCCGCCACCGGCAGCCTGCGGGACGCCTGTATGCAGTGAGCGAGAGCACCGGAGCGGGGCTGCTGCTGTCCTACCTGGGGGAGTGTGGCTCTTCCAGCTATGTGACTGCGGCCGTGTGCCTGTCCCCGGTGTTCCGTTGCCAGAGCTGGTTTGAGAGAGGGCTGTGGTGGCCCCTGCAGTGGGGCGTCGCACTGTACCAGAAGATGGGCCTCTGCAGGTAAATACTACCATGAGAACATGTAGAAAAATGTGCCGAGAGTGAAAGACATCACAAACAAGACAGACTAGTTACTTGAGATAATTATGCACAATTAGGGACATAACTATTAAACAAATACTCGTAACCAGTGTTGGGTAAGTCATAGTTACATACAGTATTTCAAGTATATGTTACAGCATATATTAATGTGATGTGTTTTACACCCGTTATTTATGAAGTGATCTGATTACAGAAACTTGTTATTAGTATTTGTAATTGAGTTACACCAGTTAAAAGTTTTCTGATTTATTAACACAGACAATAGAACATGTATGTGCTGAGATAGATTTTCAGACAAACAAGAAAGAGATAAACAAGAAATATCTTATTATTAAAGATAAAACAGCTTTGTTTAGAATTGTAACAAATTAGAATGTGTCTTCATCATTCAATCCCATATGTGTGTTTTTAAAACTAATGGCTAATCAAAAGAAAATCACTCAATGAAACAATAATTGAAACAATCGTCAGTTACAGGTCTATGTGCAAATCTTTCCGGCCCCGTTTATGCTTTTTTAAATATAGTTTTAAGTGTATATTGTTTCCAATCTTCCCATATTGAATTAACAGCAGATAGTTTCTGCTCTCACTGATAATGAATAATTGAAAGACAAGCATTGGGCAAGCACAAACAATTATGAAACGAATCAAGTTACTGTAGCAACAGATGAGGTCCCTTTGTCCCCTTATTGATTTCCTCGAGACATCGTGATCCACGTGGAGTGCATCAAATCAGCGTTGAATTGATTGGCTCCTTTCAGTCCTTTCTTTTGATGGGTTTCTTCTTGTGGTTGCAGGTACCGGAGCGCATTGGCCCAAGTCCTCCAAGCAGAAGGCCTGTTTTCCATGTCCTCCATAAGAGGCATAGAAGAAGCTCTATTTTGCCAAAGCTCAACAATAGCACCACCTACAGGAAGCGACCTTTCATGGGACAGCTACTGGGAACACAATGAACCTTTGAGAGACGTAGACGAGGTGGCAATCCCAGTGTTGAGCGTATGTGCAAAGGACGACCCAATTCGAGGCGATGCCAGGTCCACCATTCCGCTCGAACTTTTTGAGACAAATCCGCATTTTTTCCTACTTTTGACCAATTGTGGCGGCCATTGCAGCTTCTCTAGCACATTTCCGAACACATACGGGGATGTGACGGGGACTAATTGCGACAAAGGCAAGCAAGACATGAACTGGAGTCACAAAACCATGCTAGAATTCTTCAGGGCTACCACAGACTTCTTTGCCACTGAGGAGAGATCTAAGCAGCTCGCAGCGAGGAGGAGAGGGTTAGGTGGGGTCACAGGAGGCAGGGCATTCCGCAACCGGAGTATTAGCACTTGTAAGCGCGTGCCGGCCTGCTCCCACAACATTCATGCTATTTACAACTGGCAACGATCCTATACGCGGTGATGAAGACTGACAAGAAGTTAACATTTTTGGTTATCTTAAATATTTATTCAGATAATGATTTTTTTTGCAAATTATTGGAGTGGGAAGAAAATATTATGATTGTTGTTTGGGTTTAATGTTTAGCTAATTATCACATTGTAAGCCTCAATGTTTATTAAAAATAACTTTGACGTCATCATGGCTATTCACTGAAGCAAGCAGCAGTTTTTCATTGTGTGTGTTTTTACAGAATTCTTATGTATTTATTTGAGACAGTGCAGGTTAAAGAACAGATTTTTTTTTTTATTAATGTAAAACATTCCAGATTTCATCCACCTTTTATATCTTCCATCAGTAGTCCCACCGTGAATTACAATACAAGATAACTTAATAACAAAATAATCAATATGCAAAAATCAATCATGAGTAAGCAAATAATGAGGGGCTATTGGAACAAGTTAGTAAAAGGTCGTAATGGTCAACTTTACCGTCTCCTTGCCAGTAACAACATACAATTCCTAAATGTTCCCAATATGGATGACATTATGAAGGCACATGACTCATTAACCACATCTTTTCTTCATTTGATGTTGCCTCACTTCAGTATTGTGAAATGTTACTAAGTGAGAAAAGAGGACGCTAAAATGATTTAGTTGATTATAATTAATTTACAAGGATTCTTGATAATGAGGTTAAAATGACGTTCAGATGTTGTGTCAGTCTTGGCAGTGAAGTCTGTGATGTAACTTTGTGATTTCTTTATGTCTACATGTCACGTATGGTTGTCACATTAAAAACATGCACATGTTGAAGTATCCACTGGTATTCAGAAAGTTATATGTAACTGAGCTTTGCAAAGAATGTTAAGAAGTGTGTTTTGTCATTTTAAATAAAGGGCATTTTCAATCTTAATCAAAAAAAGCTTATCACGGTTCCTTTTTATAGCCTGGCGCCCGTTGGCTGTCCTTCTCTGCCCAGTGTTGTCCCAGACCTGAGCTTTATCTTGTGTGACAGTCGGATCACACGGAGCTGAGCCTGCAGCCACTTACTCCGACTCCTCCTCAAACAGACAGGATAGCTTTAGCTGAGTGGATAGCACTCTCGCCTCTCAGCAAGAAGGTCCTGGGTTCGAATCCCGGTCGGACCAGGGCCTTTCTGAGTGGAGTTTGCATGTTCTCCCCGTGTCTGCGTAGGTTTCCTCCGGGTACTCCGGTTTCCCCTACCACTAAAAATATGTCCAATAGTTCTAGCATGCGCCTCCTGTACTGGCGACCGCGCTCCCATCTCTGTGTGGAGTGAGAGACAAATGCCCAAAAATTAACAATTGTAAACCGCTTTGAGACTCAGATCTGCAGTGAAAAGGCGGTATATAAATAAATACTTACTTACTTACTACTACTTACTTACTTTAAGTTTATGGGGATGCAACAGGAAGTCCATCGGGTCATGTCCAGAACCAACATCCAGAAAGCCCCTGGATATGTCTGCATCATCTCTGTACTGAAATCAAGCTCTGAGCATCTCGCCCTGTTAAAACGGTTACGGAACTGTACTGTGCCAGACAGCTTAATGAGATCTACCAACATAACTCCTGTGTGTTACCATAACGATTATCGTCCTGTGGCCTCTGTCTGTTCTGATACAGACTTTAGAGAAGCTCGTGTTGGACTTGCCAAATTCCAGCGTCTGTTCACTCACTCCAGTTTGTGTACGGACAAGATAGAAGCTTTGAAGAGTCTCAAGCAAGAAATCTTTTTAAAAATTCTAAATTTGATCTCTTTCAAGTTTGATCACTCTTAAGTTTGAACTACCGTGTGTCTCTTTGCCTTCGTCTGACTTTACCGTCCAGAGAGTTTAAATCAAGACTTAATCTCCTCAGGGGTGTATTTTGAGTCCTGTGCTTTTTACATTGGTGATCATCTAATTTAATACACTTACCTTATAGAGCAGACATTCAGACACTTGTTCAGTGGAGCAAAAAAAAAACAGCCTTTCATTGTGGACTTTTTTGTGTTTTTTGTTTTTTCATTTGTAACTCACACATGTCTGTGGTTATTGACAACTGCCAAGTAAAAATTGTGATGGTGTGCAAGGTTCTGGGTTTAATCTTGTCAAAGGACTTGAGGTGAGACAACACAAATCAAAGAAAGTGGAGTTCTAAACAAGGGGTCCGCTCTGCAAAAAGGAAAAGACTGACGCGAGCTGCCTGTTCTGATGGCTCCTTATACAAGCTCATTTTCATTCATATTCATTTTTTCTGAGAGGATTTGTTAGCATGTCTTGTGCAGGTTTTGAAATTTAATACGTAAAATTAGGTGACATTTTGGATAAATTGTAATGGTAAAAGAGTGAAACTTTTTCAAGACAAATAAAGATGTTGCGCCTGTAATTAATGATAATAATAATATGCATAGAAGTTTGTGGTATTTATCAGCAATGGGTATAGGTTCCTCCAAAATGACCATCTTTGGCCAATGGCATAGACCATGTCCTGTCACTGTGCAGCCACTGCAAACAATGTCTTACTCTCAGCATCCATCACAACATAGATTTGAACTGAAGTGAACATTGGGGGTGTCTGTTTCTGTGAGCTCAATATGTAATGTATAGACCCCCACCTGCTCTGCATCTCTGTTGACATTAATATAATTGATATCCAATAGTTACAGATGATTCTTGCAATAAATGCTGCCTTCAATATGGGCTAATTAAGTTGTTAGAGTGGAACTGCCCTTTCCCATTTTGCTTATTCAATTCTGACCTATCCACTCCCTGACCGGCTCCGGCCCAGATGTAATTTGTCTGATTGATATTTAATTAAGTGAGCGTCACACACAATTGCACAAGGCTTCAAAGGCTGTTCAGTCGACGAGCGCACAACACTGCATCTGCATGTGTTGGTAAAAAATCAGCTCATAATTTCTGTCACCAAACCCATGATGAAAAAGTGCTGTTTCAGGGATCAGCTTGAATCCCTCTCTGTGCACTCTCTGTGCACTCTCTGTGCACTCTCTGTGCACTCTCTGTGCACTCTCTGTGCACAAAATGCATGTATTAGTTGTTGTTTTTTATTGTTTTATTTTTAAGTAATCATCACACTCTGTTTGATTATATTTATATAAGTAAATTATATTGACACTGATGCTCTGCACATACATGGCCACACCTGGATGAGCTCTGTCTCAGTTTTCCAGACCACGTGCGCCCTCATGTGGTCAAAATGAGCTAAGCAGTGAAAACTCAAAAATATAGGCAAAATTAATATCTTCAAACTAGATTTGCTATTCACTAAAAAATGTCCAGGTGCTGAATAGAATGTTTTATGATCAATGATCATTATTTATATTATTAAGATGGATTTTTAAAAAACTGTCGTCTCGGGATACAATACAATCAGTGGAAGGTTTAAAGATTTTGAAAAAAAGACGTCATCTTCAAATGTCTGAGCATCGTAGGCTATTATTTATTGTCATTAGCTCAATAGCGTGTCACCTTCTCAGTTATGCTCCGAATCGCTCATTTATTACAATGGAGAATCTTGTAGTTCGTATGACCCATTACGTTACATTACCCATTACATTCACACAAGTGACTTCATGTTCAGATATACAGCCTATGGTTCAGACAGAGAATGCTAAAAAAGTTGAGCTAAAAGGAAAGCACAGAAGGGATGCCCAAAGAACCACTACTTCAACAACATCAGGATCCAAACAAAGAAGCCAAGGAAAATTCTGAGAGAATAGAAAAGAAGCCAAATAGTGTTCACTACTCTAACTACTTAAATACGTCATTAAGTAATCACCATTTATATAACGAACAAAGGTCTTTACAGTTTTGGTGTACCGGCAATTTCCATTCACTCCACAAGTCTCCAACCATCACCGTCCGTTCACCTATTGTACATGTTTTTATTAGAGGAAACCAGAGCAGACACTAGGAGAACATGCAACGCCACAGAGAAAGTCCAGGTTCCGGCTACAGTGAGAAGCCTATGCCAAACTGTTGTTGTGTCCCTAGGCAAGACACTTCACCCACATTGCCCAGTATGAGTCTAGTATGTGCGTGGATAACTGGTGAATGATGTCTGGAAACACAGATAAAGAACCGACAGCGTTTGCATAGTTATGTTGAGACAAAGGCACCACTTTCTAAAGCGTTTGTGTTCAGATAATTTCTTTTAATTTTTTTATTCTATTTTCATCAGAAACATTAAATACATATAACTAGTAACTTAAGATCTAAATACGATCAACAAATCTACATTTTGACAATACCTCCACTTCAAAATATTAGGGGTCTCGAATGTTGTCACTTCAATCAATTTCAACAAAACTAACTGAAATGACATAATTTTCAACTAATGCATCAATCAGACAAGTCTAAATATGATGTGTTTAAACAGAGAAAGATCAGCTTTTATGACAGAGTAGACGCATTGAAGAAAATTTAATAGATTGTGACAAAAGAAGTACTTTTTAATGTAAATATCAGAGTATTTTGAGATGTACGAATCAACTCTTTTACTTCGGAAGGCTTTTTCATCTAGAAATATTGTCCTGTGGCCAGTAGAGGGCAGCAGTAGAAAATATTGCATATAATGACACAGCTCCTTCTCTTTTTGGCCTGGAAACTACATGTGTATATTTAGTAGCACATAACAGTTTATGTGACAGGTTCATATCTGCCCAGTCACTGCCCCCAGTCATTACACGAGTCACTCTGAGAGTATCACTAACACAACATGTATTTATGGTACATTTTAGGTTTATAAAGTGTACATTTTCACTGGGGTCATTGTCCTTCTGCACTCAGTTAAGTGTTACAAAGGTTAGCCTTCTCCAGCTCACATGACAGAGACTGAACACACTGTACGGAGTGTTTTATGTTCTGTACAAATACATGGCAATTTGTATTTATTTGTCTATATTTTTAAGAAAGCCTTCAGAGTGTTTATGCTTTACAGGGTTTAAATACAGGGGGACTTATGGATACAGTACACTAAATAACTGCTATTATAGTAT